TTTTCTATGCATTATCTGTTACACAAATCGTCCACATTTCTTACTCCCATCGAAATGCATACACTCGTTACAAATATGTAAATGCATACAAATCCGGACTCCACTTATAATAATATCGATAAATGTTTATAATGAAGATGATCGTCGACTGTATTATTTTAATTATTACACATTATCAGTTGTCCACTTTGGTCTTCGGTATACCATTAGGGTAGAAGATGTATCATATCATTATGACGATTGTTCGGATACTTGCGTTGGCTGCAGTATAAATAATTTCATATTTTTTATAACAAGTTTAGTGTTAACCTAAAATGGTTAAGCGGGGAGAAAGAACCAAGAATGCTACTGTTAAAAATCAAATTTTCACCCAAGAAAATTCGTATTTATTTTATCGATATGAACATATTATAATATTAAAATAAATTATGTTTTGAAAACAAAAAAAGGGTAAGTGGATGTCGCTCTGCTGTACATTAGGTGTCTAGAAAGTAGAAGGTCGCTGTAATGGATGGTATTAAATTTGAATTCAATGATTTAATATCAATATATCATTGTTTATGAAAAACGATTCTGAGCCGAGACGATATGTGAGTCTACGATTTTTATATATACCTATTGTAATTACTTAATATTAATATGGTAGCCGAGAAGTTGAATTAATATTATTCTTAAATTATCAATGATGCTGGAAAAATATTAAATATACTTATGTAAAATTGAGCTACCATTACCTTATTATACAGGTAACGAGTATGACGTATCAACGTATTAATTTAACAATACCTAATAAATTTATATTTTAATTAAAATATCAGTTAGAACTTTAGAAGTTGCTTTTCATATTACTAAAAACTGTGATTACTTTTTTATCACAAAAAGTACTTATGTGCTGTAACAAGTGCCTCGTCGTCAACCGTCGTCGATCTTGCGGCTGTCGTGGCCGGGCTTCGTCCGCTGCCATGATCGTCTTCGCGTCTTGAGCCAACGCGCCCGCGACTCTCGTCCGCCCCACAGGACAGCCGCGAGACTGAGAACTCTGTATAGCACTATAGCCGTATAGGTGACCAGTAGCCACTTACTTCTAGACATCATTTGCACCACCCATTTGTCATTACGTACCCCCCCCCCCCATGTCACCTCGTCTTATCTGATGCCTTTTTTTGTTTAATTTATATTGTTTACTGTTTTCTTTTGCAATTTATGCTTTGTATTGCATTTTTTCATTCTTTCGGCATACAACTAACTAAAAAATTTTAATAGAGTTAAAAGCATTTTTATACCTATGGTATTTGAACATAGGTACTATTATGAACATTGTTCAATTAAAAATAAAAATGTTGTTTACACAATAAAATGTTGTTTCTTATTTAGTTATTTTCCGTTATACAATTATGATTACGATTTTATTTATTTCAACAGAATAAAGGCTCGTGAAGAATATTAACCAATTTTTTTTATTATTTAGGTACCAAATTTTCAGAAGAAACATGCACTTATCTAGCAGATAATACTAGCAAATCTGTAAAGTGTTGTATCGTTTGTTGTTTTAGTGTCTTAGCTAACTATAATTTATACACTAATACTTTTCCGGTTCTTTAGTTATGATACAAACTAGGTACTTTTATAATTTTCAATCACACAAGTGGGTTGTGAAAGGAGTTTTTCCAAAATAAAATATATTAAAAATTACTTGAGAAACTCAATTACTCAATATTATCTAGAATGTTTTATACTCATGACTCATGAGTGTAGAAAAATATATTTTAACTTCTATTAGTACAGATAATGTAATTGATAAGGTCGCATTAAACGGCAAGTCTTTAAAAAAATCATTAATGTATTAACTTTAAAAAATAAAAAAATCTGTACTATAAGAGTACCTATATTACTTATTATATACCTACCTAGTTTTGTATTGTATTGTTACATCAAAATAATATATGTTGCTCTCTCATTTTTTTGGGGGGCCCTTATTCAAATTACTTTTCGATAGAAAGATATAAATTATAAGCCTATCCACCACTGCGGCCTAACTTAATCTATACAAATTATATTATTTTATCCTTAATACAACAGCATTTAGATTTGATGCTGACTAAATATAATGTTAAGACAATATCATAATTCATAACTAATAAGAAATGAGAACTAAGGACTATTATTTACAAATAAAATAAGATTTAAGTCAGTTAGGAATGTTAGGAACTGGTTGGAGGGTGTGAAGGCCGAAGGGATTGTCCATTTGTCCATGCCCCATACATTACGGAATCGTCATATCGTAGACGAGTATATTAAATTAATATTCTGTGCAAGTTTGTTTAATGTTATCGTAGTAACTACAAACAAGTGATCACTAATCACTAATCGTGGAATAAAAAAGTGATAAATGCCACGACCTAAGATTAAGTCACAAAAAACCTGAGAGTTATATACGAGATATTTTAGAAAATAAGCCGAACCTGACGAGTATGAGAGTACACGTTATATTATACACAGCTTAACGATTTGAGTATTGATGGAATATTTTCATTTTCTTTTGTTCATTGAAATTATTTCAATTGTTAATTACCATAGATGACAGATATTAAAATATTATACAGCCATAGACGCTATACTCGGTATGTAATCATATGTTTTTTTATAGCTTCATACTATAAAGTAAAAATAATATTATATGATATTTTTTTTTTCGAAAAATAATTTATTGTTTTGAATTAGGTACCTACAGGCTTCAACAAAATAGGGGACTATAATCGTTATTTTTCGTTAAAATATCCAATTTTGTCAACAATTTAATATGGATCGTGCATATACATAGCAATTGTTGTACAATTAATGTATTTTTGGTATTAATAGGTTGCTGGTAAGAACAATATATGAGAATCCTTGAATTGAAATATTAAATTCGGAGGATTATTTTCAGAAATATACATTTTATAGCACATAAGTCTAAATAAAACTATTAACAATGAGTCAATGAATGTTAATTGTCAAAAAAAGCTATTAAAATAACCAGTATTTGAATTAATTTGTTAACAATGATTAAGGCTTTAATATTAGCAGTAATCGTGGTCCTTATTATTATTATTATTATTAATTTAATTAACATTTATACTTTTGGCATTTTTCATAATGTTAAACACAATTTATTACACAACCCATCACCATAATTGTGTGTATTTTAAGATGAATAAAGATTAAAATTAAAATTATAACAATTTTAATAATTATTTAATATTTAGCAAAAACTATCTTGAAAAAGTTGAACATCAAGTCATCAAATATAGTACATTGTACATAGTTTAGTAGTTTACAAAACAAATTACAAATATTATGAAATATAATTACCTAGGTATATATATATAAAGCCTATAGGTGTAATTATTTATAAATGTATAGTAATGTATATTTAATATTTATATGTATTTACTATTTTACAAAACAAAAAGAAGGCGGGTTATGTATTAATTTTGTTTGTGTTCCCGATTTATTAATTGCTTGTATTGGAAACCTAGATAGCGCTAGTGTTGACTAGAACTCGAAGCCCGCGCACCCCATTCATCATTCATCATCCTTTCTTGTTATTATCGTTGTTTGGGTTTCCTTATCTCTAATCTCTTGTTCATACTTCATAATACTAAACAAAAAGTCGTTACTCATTAGATGACCGTTCACCGTTGTACTGTTGTAGTTGTTACTTGTTACTTGTTAGTTACTGCTTGCCAGTTGACAACGGTTAAGTTTGTTTAAAACTTTAAAAGTTGTATTGTGTATACAGAAATTCTGAATGCTCATTGCTCAGTAGTGAAGTTGTTAACACGTCTTAATTTCGTTATATTGTTAAAAAGTAAATACAAATTTTCTCATGGCTGAAGATTGTGAGTATGAACGGAATAATATATTATTAAGTTGTGTATTCTAGACTCATTGAATATGAATAAAGAATTTTAACAATTTCGTGCGTTTATGTTTTGAGTTCACCCTAGTATATTATGCCCTGATGTGACGCGGTACTTATTTATTCATATAAAATAGGTTAGGTAGACATAAGTGTGTAGTTCTGATATTTTTAAAAAAATGTTTAAAACAAAAAGGAATTTCATTGTACAAGTTAGGTCATTGATAACACACTCATGTAGAGGGTAATCTTTGGAGGATTATTTCTGTTCTCTTATTTATTGAAGTTGTGGATCATGACATCCAACTACTCCAAGGGAATTTTTAAAACTAGTATTAAAATATTATTGTTTATTTAAATCGATTACACTTAATTATAAATGTATTGCAGTTGATTTATCTTGTACCAACAAGTTTGAAGTGGAATTGGGCTCTTCATTAAGACATTGTTCTAATACTTCCCGTAAACTCAAACAGTTAACTTTGAATGCTGCAGAGTTAAAAATAAATAATCAAGTAAGTTATTGTTGATAGTGAAATATATTTCCAGTTACGCCATTGAATTTTCTCTCTAATATTCATGGCTTCTATTTGCGTATGACAAACATTTTGGTCATTAAATCATGCAAATTTTAAAAATGCATATTGTCTATTCCATTATTTTGTACATTTATTATTATATGATATAATTACACTTTGTGTGTATATTTTTAGATAAACCTGACATGCAAAGAAAATGACATTGATCTAAGTGTTAAAAATATTTTAGATGAAGTGCAAAATTTACGCGGAAAATTAAGTACTATAGAAACAACGGTTGATTGTTCGGATAAGGTTAGTATTACTAATATTACATATTAAAATATAAATCCATGCCAGGGGCATCCGCAGAGAAGGGCCAGTGGGTGCTATTGCACCCACTAGGATTTTTTTTTATAAACCAAAAAATCAATGTATAATAAATGTAAATATGTGATTTTTTATGTATGTATCATATGCATTTAATTTTGCATCCACTGAGCTGATTTTCTGCGGCCGCCCCTGATCCATGCAAAACAAATATTTGTTCCTCAAATGTAATTGAATCTTAATTTTTACAGACTGTATTTAACCTTGGAGAAACGATTCAAGAGCTCGAGAGTGTTGTTAACATTGTGTCAAAAAACAAAAATACAATTTTTACTCACCGTATGTTTTTTAAATTTTGTTTTCATTAATTTATTGGTAATTTTCTATTATTTTTTTTCTTTTAGGTAATCTTTTATAATTTATCTTATTTTATTCAATTATATAATAAGTACCAAGTAGCTTAAAAATAATTATATTTATAATGTCATTTAAACGTGTATGTGATGGATCAGGCAGTGATTTACTCAAAAGTCTTGAGGTACCTTCTCAATTTTAAATATTTATTATTTAAATACCTAGTGTAACTATAATTTTTATGTTATGTAACAGTCACAAAGGATCAGGGAATTACTTGGCATTCAAATACCAGATGGTGAAGCTAAATTGTTATCTAATGGGAAGCTGACTTGTATGATATGTATTCAAAGACCAATTTTTGATACTATTAATGTGCTCTCGATTCACAGAAAAGGAAAAAAACATTTAAATGGTATGTAGTGTTTAAAAACAAAATAAACGTTGATTGCATTTTCAATAAACATAGTATGGGTATTAAATGGGTTAAGTAGATATACATATGTAGTTCTGGTAAATATTTTCAAACAAATACTAAAACAAAAAGTAATTTTATTGTATAAGCTAGGTCAAGTTCATAGCGATCTGTTAAATAGAAAAAAGTAAAATTTATTAAAATTAAATACTTATTGTTTGATCAACTATTTAAGTGGCTTTTATAACTTTGTTTTAATGTACATTATGTGATGATAGTCAACTGCTACTTATATATATATAAAAAAAAGAACAAGTAATATAATAACTATTATTCTTTTTAAATTTAAAATATTAAGTTAAATAAATTAAAATTATTATCTTGAAAATATAATTGTTATTTAATGATTATACTTTTCTTTAATTAGAACTTAGTAAATATTTGGAAAGAAAGGAGGAATTAGAGTTAATAAAGATTAAACAACAACAAAAAAACTGTGTTCAGTCATTTGGTGCTTCGAAAATGTATGCTAGTTCTACAGAACGTAAAACAAAATTGGAACTACCAGATAATGGTAATAACATTTATTTAGTTATTTCATTTTTATATATTCCAATTATTTTTTTTTTTAGATTCAGATAATTCTAAAGAATCTTCCATTGTTTCTCGCTATGTATCTTCAATAAAAAAAAAACCATCTTTACAAGATGTAATAAGCCGTGCAAGAAAACATCCTTACCAGCAACCGGTCTCTAATTCACATACCATAGTGTCCAAAATTACCCTAGATATCACTCAATCTATAAAGCCTTCCACTAATAAAGAAATTGAGTGAGTATAAGAAAAAATTTGTTTAATATATTTCTGAAGAAACATTTTAAAATAGTAAACATAATATTGACATGTCTTTTTTATTGCTAACAATGTTCACAGAATTGGTTGGATAAAAAATTCTGACGGATCATGGTCTAAGGATCCACAAGCTGAATTTGATTCTGATGATGACTGGTAAGCATTAATTATGATTGCCTAGTAACAATTTTTAAATAATAAAAATATATTGCTTGAAATTGAAAGTAAGTGTTAGTCTAAAATTATTAGACAAACTAGAGAGCTATTATTATCCCAAAAACTGGAAGTCTAGTGACTGCTGTCGGTGATACAATGATAAGCCACGATGTTCCTAAAACATTGTTTACAATTTTACTCTTATTTTATTAATATATTTAGGTATAAGAAGAAATTAATGTGATTCAAATTTGGATATATTACCATGCATTCTTTGTCACCAACAAAATTTGATTTTCTTTCAGTTGCATGAGAATACTTTTCATCATCACAACTTTTGCTTCTCCTGTAAAGTATCCATATATTATAATGTATAAACAAGAGTAAATGTTTTAATTTTAATAACTAAAGTATTTTGTTTATTTACATTGATAGTTTTCTGATTTGAAGATTTTCCTTAGTGCTTGTCTCTATTATATCATCATTATTTGGAGTCCTGCAACATATTGTAAATTCATGATTAGTAACTAAATATATTTATTCAATTTTTAAATATATATATATATTTACGAGCCACTTTTGCTACTAGTTCTGTTTCTAACAGTTTCCAATAACTGTGATGAAGATGCCGTCATTTTGGCTTGTAATAGCTGCAAATATATGCAATAAAACATTATACATTATTTTAGTTTTAAATATTTTATGTATCAATCATAAGATCTGAATTATTATTTGTAAATACTCACAGGCCATGATGTTGCACGCATTTCTCTGAGATCAATATTTCTGAAGAATTCAGTCATGACTAACTGTTCGATTGTAGGTACTTGACCCATAGGATTTTTAAACACATAGTCCATTATTTCAACAACCTGTAAAATCATAAATCTATAACATTGTATAGTGATATTTCAATTAAATATTAAAATTATTAAATTAATTATTAATAGTTTGAATTTTAAGTTATTAAATTTGCATAGCAATAATAGCTAAAATAAAAACTAAAATATGCTAGTGCCCAAAATGTTTTAGATATAATGTTTATTTGAATGTTAAATTTTTTTACTTGAGGATAGTGAGCAATATCTCGTAAATTAATGTCACTGGGTTCTGGAGTAAGCAATTCATATCCTGCTGCCATTTCAAAGAGGACATGACCTAAATAAATGTTTGTTTTTTTTTTCAGATTTTTGTGCAAATTATTTATAAGATAATTTTATACCGAAACAAATGACATCAATTGCCGAAAAATCATCTAATATGAAATTACCACTCATAACAATGGGTTGAATTCTTGATGTAAAACCAAGTAGAGAATTTTCTAGGCCTGTGATCCTTTGTAAGATTAATCAATACATTTTTAATTATGATTTAATTATGTTTTATTTTTTGAAAAAATACCTGGCCACGCCATTCTGAAGAATTACATTGCCAGAATGTAAATTACAATCATGTGGAAACTTTCTCTCCTTGAGAAATAAAAGTGCTTCTAAAATCTGACGGCCAAGTCTTTGTATTTGTGACAAAGGCAAACCTTCGCTGCGCTGTCCATACTTATCGCTCCAATCATCATGCCAGCAACTCTAAATTATTTGTATCATTAAATTATAATAACTATATTCAAGATATTATTTTAATAATTATACCTTATAGATAAGATCTTTGAGACTTCCCTTACTGTTAAAAGGTAACACTAATGTAATAAATGTTGTTTCTGGATCGGTCGCTCCTTCAACAAACTCTACGTCCAATACGGGATATATATACGGATGTTGTAATGTTAGAAAAAGATCTAGTATAGTTCGTCTGGTATCTGGTGTGCATTCAAGAACGCTTTTGGGATTCTTGGGCACAAGTGTCAAAAGACGTTCTGTTTTGACAGACCCATCACGTACTACAAACCAATGTTTGTCCACCCTAAGTTCAAAGTTTATAACAATATTGTTATTTTATTTTATACCATGTAGAATCCAGGTTTTGTTAACTGTCTAATGAACTAAAGTAGCTACTATAAGTATATAGTTATTTATTTAGCTTTAAATTTTTATCATAATTGTAATTATTACCTCGATCCGATGTCGTTGAGGTGTTGTAGAAGAGCGTATCGAGGACAGAACCTTAAGTAATGCTTACATGCATTTTGAGCATGTTGACGGGCTTTACGTTCCAGTTCCATCCGTTCCTGTCCCATTGAGTCCGGTTCCAACGCCGTGTACTGATACCGGCTGCCATTTCTACAATGCACAACAAACCGGAAGTGAGGGATCGTTATATTCTAAGATTCTATTCATCGGCAATAAAATTTCGTCTTGTGGGGAGGAGCCGAGGGCGTGCAACAAAAAGAGGATGAAGTTTCCCTAACTTGTGTCCGCGATCAAATTTACAGTTGTCACACAACTCCTCGAAATGTTTGGGAGGTTCGGGCCTGGACCACCATGCAAGCCGGAACCTAAACGGACATACAGTCCTCGATCTGACGACACTGCGGTCGGGCTTTCGGGACGCGACGCGTCCGTTCACCCTGTGAACAGGTCGCCCGGAACCCGAGTCCGCTGGCGATGGCATAATTTCGATACAATTTTCCGATCGGGGCGAACGTGGCAACACGGATATGATCGTACGAGTGTTGTTGTTGTGGCTGCTGTTCGGCCAAGGCATTTTGCGTTGCACTGCAAGTTGCTGTAATATTATAAGTTCATACGCGGTTTTTGTAAATATTAAAACTGGCTCTGTTTTACTGGTCGTCGACATGAAAAGTATTTTTCAGTATTTTAATATAGACGAATAATATACATGGTGTTGTGGGAATTAACCACGGTCATTATCTGTGTGCACACGAACAATAGCACAAATATATCGCGTGAGTTCGAGCTTTATGCAAGTCAAATGCTAACGTTGACTTTGGACCACACATGAACACGCTGTACGCCAATGGCTATTATAAATATAATATATGTACACACGACTGTAGGGTGGGCCACATGCGTTAATATTCATGACACATGATATTTATATTTTTAATAATTTATGAATTATTATTGTGTCGTAACAATAATTATAGGATATTAGCTTAGAAATCCCATACACATATAAATATATATAAACATATAATATAATATGTATAAATTATGTGATGTATAAAATATAAATTATAAGGTCGATAAATTTTACTCGTTAGGTAAATTTTAAAAAATGTTTTGTTAACCTAAAACAACTTTTTTTAACTTTTATTATTATCGGGTGTCCTGCTATAATTAAATATTGGTACCTACCAGTGTAATAAGTAATAACTTCATATTAGAAGGTACTATTTAATTTTTTTAATTAATCATTTGTAGTCAATAATATTCGAGTATAGGTAGTGGGAACAGTAGGTAACTATTTATATATTTTACAAAATATAACTTTATAAGTTATACCTAATTAATTTAGATATACACTGTAATAGTATGTATAGTTAACTTACGAGCAAGCTTTTCTAATCCAATAAGCTAAAAACCCCAGAAGGCCGAATCCACTGACAAGTGCCACAGTCATTACCTGAAATAAACAATCATATGTTTAGATATGCAGGATAGATAGTTAAAAATGATAAGTTATTCTTAAAAAATTGAGGGTCACCAAAATCATAATTTGGCATTTTTTTTTCTAGTTAATGCGTCACGATTATGTATAATAGTTGAGTGTACCTCAGTACACTATATTATACGATTTAGTAAAATAAATAATCTTAGTATTTAAAAAACCAATATTTGTTTTAGTTAAAAATAGGTACAGCTAACCCATTGACTATATTGTTTATTTTGTACAAAAAATAACCGATTGTTGATTATTATATAAATCAAAATATATTTGAATTCAACAATATATATTTATTATTATAATTTGTATTATTGTTTATAAAATATACCTATAGATAAGTAGGGGCCTGGTTGACGCTTGTCCCTCCTCGATAACTAGGAAGATACCTACTTTAGATTTTGCCAACCACCTCCTAAATTGTATTAATCGTATTTTATCTAAAATAAATTAAATAATTTGATATGGTTCATTCTTACTAATAATTTATAAAGTCATAACAGTACTCTTTTAGATTCAGATCGGAGCGATGTACCTATGTATTGATTTTACAATGGTGTAGTGTGTTTTCTTGTGTATGGATAATTTGAGGGCGGTTTCTGATAGAAAATTAGATTTAGTTTATATATTTGAGTGATAAAAAAATTTTTTTTTAAAAACGGATTGTTTACCCAAAATTTCAATAAAATATTCAAATCTTTTTTAGTTATTTTTCAATTTTTTTTAATGTTGATAAAAAAAATTCGCTGGGTCAAAAAGTTTTGAAATTCGACATGAAGTTCCTGATAAGTTGTTCATTTATCATTTAATAAATATTGAAAATATTATATACTCTTACAATTTTTACATAAATGTATACACTTCGAAATTCATAACAATTTTTGTTTCTATACCTAATATTTTGAAATGTAATACAAAATTCCTCATAAGTTTTTCTACTTTTAACAAAAAAAAAGTTTACTAGAAATTCATATTAATTGTTTATAAGTGTTCCAAGTTTTTTTTCACGACTGGATATTTACAGGTAAAATAGTTTTCGCAACGAACCATTTTCTTATTTCCTTAGTTGTAACAAATTCAAAAGCAAATAACCGTAAACACTTGACATTTTTATAAAATGTTTATTTTATGATTTCATATATTATACATGATAAAGTTTTTCAAAATATTTTGTTTATTTGAGCTATATATAGACATTTTTCATTTTCTTAGTTTTAATTCTACGTTTTTTCGCTGGATCAAAAAGCTTGAAAATTAAGTAGGTATAAGGTCCAAGTTTTTATTATACCAATTTAAAAATATTAAAAATACTAAGTCATTTTTTTTATACAAGCATCATTTACACTTGCCCAATTTATTTTATTATTGATAGGTAGATGGCCGTGGGCCGTGGCAATTTAAAATACTGAATACTATTTAATAGAGGGATTGCAAATAAATTATCAAGCTCACTAATTTCTAAAATATTGCACAATGCGTGACTACTGGCTGATGCTTGTCGCCGCCTGTCGTAGGTATGTATGTTTAGTAACATACCTATATTATTATGTGTGTGAGAATATTGCGTATAAAAATAGACATGAGTCTTGACATTTACTGTGTCCGTTAAAAAATAAAACCTTTACGAGGGACTCTTAAATCTATAATTAAAAGGATGACAGTTACTATTTGTTTTCCCTCTTTTACCTAGCAAGTGCATTATACCTAATATAGTAACTACATTTAGTATTTAAAAATTCAGGACTATAATATCATGGAGAACTCGTTTGTTATTTGTTAGCTTTTATAGGTATGAGAGAAAATTGACTTATAGAACATAAAGTTAAGAAGATTAACTTTGAAGTAAGTTGGTTTCTTAGTGGTATTAGTATTTTTCTGTTAAATGATAGATATTTTTAAATATTAATATTTTACATATTCATAACTTGCATAAATATTGTGAAACAACCTACTTTCACAGATGGGTAATATTGATAAAATAAAATTTGATGTTGATGGGTAAGTTCACTGTATATTTACTGTAATATTAAAGTTATCAACATAAGGTTGGATCTGCTAAATTAAAATTGTTTGTTCTGAGTGATGGCAAGAATCTCTCAGTCATAAAGAGGTACAGATTCCTCACACCACACATATATCCATACATAATAAATAATGATGTTCACTGCAAAGTGCTTGGGATGTGATTGGGAACTATTTTTGTAAATAATGTACACATACCTTACTTTTAAAAGCGTGGCAATCTAATTTAATATATTTTTTGTATCCTTAACATTTTTAATAAATTAAGTAGGTATATAATATACAAAAAATAATGGAATTTTGAGATTATGGTAATATTTGGATTAATTTTTTTTTTTAATATAATATAATTTATTACATTATTTCTAAATAATAATTTCACAATAAGCGGTGTATTTGTTAGGTACTTATATTATGTAGTATTTAAAAATATTCATGATAGATATTTGTGTAGCGTACATTCAAATTAATGTTGTCCCCCTACCACAATCATCACTACGGATCCGTCCCTGAGCCTCAACTTTGACCTTTCCCTAGAAGTTCATATTTTGTGGGCCTTGACCGATGGACCAACAATTTCCTAGCTTATACGTAAATAATATATAATAATAAAACGTTGACTGGAAAAACGATTAATTTCATTTAAAATTATTTTGTGGGTATAAACTATATGCCTAAGCATATATAAAATATATTATGTTATTTTAAATT